GTGGGAATATGTTTGTGTGCTTACGATTTGGACATGGCGAATGCGGCACGGCGGCTTTCATGTGCGTATATACACTTCTTGGGTCTGTTACACTGTCTATGACAGTGCCAGCATGGTTATGAGGCAGGATACGCATGGAACTTTAACTCAAAGAAAGCCAAGTTCGAAGAAGCCAAGATTGTCCGCAGACCTATAGTACTGCGGTTTACAAAGCTAATCTCCCTTAAGACAGAACGATGATATTTCGGGCCCTCGCCTTCAAATAGAAGTACGTCGCCCCTTTCGCGCTTGGCTCTAAAGCCGAGGGGTCTTAAAAGCAAGCCTAAGCCCAAATTTTCTTCGAACCTTCCAAAACTGGATCCCCTAATTTGGGACCCAATACTTCGAAAGGAAGACCCTTAAGGGTTCCTTGACAGGTCCCTTTGAGGGTTGTACAGGATTCTATAACAGGGCTCCCTTTAAGGGTAATATAGGGTTCTTGAGGCCCTTAGAGGATTTGCTTCTGCAGGAAGATCCTGCCAAAGCCCAAGAGCTGCCCCACATCTCTCCGCAGGAGGCGGGATTCGCTGCAATTTTCTTTGTTAGGCCGGCCACTTCATCCACTGACCCCCTCCCACTGAGCAGCAGCAAGGCACCTCAAAAGGCACCACCTATGCTGCCGCCCGCCAACCTAGCACCAGCTTTGTTCAAAGCCCCACCACTGGGCCCACACCACATCCCGGACACCAGGCCTCCTCCACCAGTCAAGGAACCGCCACCACGGCAGCCGCCACACACAGCGACCCCTCAGCAGACGGGTGCAAAGCCAGCGCAGCCACCACCAAGCACCATGGCCACCCCAATAGCAACGGCAACGCAAACCAGCCCCGCGACAGCAGGGGACCAACAAGAAGCACCGGCAGACGACCTTTGGTCACAGCTACGGGCCACCTTCAGGGTTCAGGCGTTTAGGGTCTAGGGTTTGGGGTTTAGGGTTAGGGTGTTGAAGGATCTTATAGAAGCAGAAGCGTTGTAAGGAGTAGGACCAAGGTGTGGTGTTATTATGTTTTGTGAGAGTGTCGAGTTTGGGGGTTCGGGCGTGTGGCCACAGTTGCCCACTTTGTGAATCAGCGAAGAGTTCTTCCCCATGACCTACTTTTCCGTTGGAGTTTGGGCTTACAACTAGGCAGTAGCCTCGTGTTCAGAATAGCCGAACAAGGCATGGTTGTGCATGGGGCTCTTTATGTTTCCACCAGTTGAACAGATGTGGATTTAGGCTTGAGGGACTGGTCGAGAGAGACTGGCTGTAGGGTGCTACGGGTTGTTATATACCGTTGTTAACTTTGTTTTATGCTCAAGCTCGAACAGTGCCATGGTGAGATGCGACACGAGCTGATACTGTGGTGTGACCTTTGCTTTGCCTGTTCTTGAAAGACACGGCAAGATGTTGGAGCTAGCTTTCCCAGAGTTGTTCAATTGTCTGCCACTGGCCAAGCCGGTGCTTGCATGATCAGCGGGCTTGGTAAGTCGGTTGTCAATGGGGCTGTAGGTAAGGTTGCACCGTTTAGGCTTTTTGCAACTCTACTTTTGATCATCAACCTACGAAATTCCGTGCGACTGTGACTATATTTAGAAATCCGGAACTGCCAAGCCCCAAATCCTGTTTGTGAATCCGCGCAGGCTGTGTGGGGGCCGACGACCTTCGAGTTCACCAAAAGCTTCTTAGTTAGTCTAAGTTCTCCAATGCACGGCTTTGTGTACATGTTGGGTGCTTATACTCGGCTAAGGGCTGTGGGTTTAGGATTATTCTTGTTCGATTTTGGGGTTATTCTGTGTTTTATTTCACGGGGAAGTGAGGTCTAGGCAAAGTGGACAACACGGTCGCCTACTGCCCGGGGGCTTTCCTGGCCATGGGGGAGGTCCTGTGCTTGGACCGGTACCTTGGCATACAAGAAGGAATTGCACTTTTCAAAGCTTCTATGGGACTGTTGTCTGAACTATAGGGTCTGTTTACTAAAAGAGTGTTTTAAATCTTGGTCGAGGAGTACCGAATACTGTCTTCTTGGTTTCGGCTGATAGGGTTTAAGGTTGAGGGTTTTGCGATATGGCTGGTGTTTCGGGAGCTCAGCTTTTGCTTCCCAGACACCGGAGGTACATCATGATGCAAGTTCATGTAGTCAACCGGGCATTCCAGCGGGCACCTCTGGCAATGGAGAGCGAGTTCGATTTCCCACACATGACCTTGGCGAAGCTTGAAAGTGGAGAGTCGGAGCACATTGGCGATGAGACCATCTGGAAGAGTGCTGTCGAAAGCGGCGAGATCAACATCACCCGAATGCTGACACAGCTGAACCACAACATCAAATGCTCTGGCCTTCCTTTCAGATTGATCCCGGTCCACGTTCGACAGTGCTGGCATGGAGAGCGCTACAACATCACAGGCCGTGTCTCTCCTGTTGTGGGTTTGCGTTCTAATCCCGTTCAGCATGAAACGTGTAAAACTCTAAAATCTAATCCCTAGGCCCTAAACTCTAATTCTTATGTTGAACCAAATCGCTGAACTATTTTGCGCAGCAGCCCTGAAATCTAGAGCAACAAGCGCAACTCCCATCTCTAGAGGCCCCAAACCCCCAATCCCCAAAATTTTCTGAGCAAGGGCCTACGGCCTGAAAGCTAAGCACCTTAACACTCCGTAGACTCGAAAATCCTACGCCAGATATATCCCGCAGACCTGAATCCCAAGACACTGCTTGGAGGATCACGGGACTTACTAAGTATGGTTTTCAGTACCTCAATTGGGGTTACAAGTGTTTACAATCATAGTTACCCTGTTTATAACCCCAATTACTAAGTCCCATGATTCTCTAAGTAACCGACAGGCGGCGAAGGGCTCAAAGTGTTCCGACATCTCCAAGCACTGGTCCTTGCCGCTTGTGTCAAGCTTGGTCCTGGCAGTGTGCAGGAGCCGGATTGATCATGGGAGCAAGGGCTTTGTAAAGGGGTTTGCTAGGGTTTTTGCAGCACGGGTCCTCAGACAGATATTCGGAGGCCCGGAATAACTAGTACTGTTGTTCCTGAGAGGTGCCAAGCATGTTTAGGCTACACATCAGGCAAACCCAAGTATATTCACTAAGCCCAAACCCCTGAGCCTAAACCCTAACAACCTAAACCCCTAAACCCTAAACCCTTAAACCTCTAAACCCAAAACCCTGAGAGTTTAGGGTTTGAGGCCGGCGGCTCCGAAAGTTTAGAGTGTTGGGGTTGATGCAAGGGTTCGAAGAGAAGATGTGAGGCTTTAGGTTTAGGGATTTAGGGACTAAACCGATTTCCGGCAGAGACACGAGGATCCCCGCGATGGGTTGGGCTCTGGCTCAGGAACTTAATATAGGATATGGCTGGTCTACAGTTTACAACACAAACTCTGCTTTTTTGAGTATGGTAACTTAAACTAAAGTCCTTTCGGAAGAACCCAGTAAACCAAGCAAGTGGATTGTGGCTCCCCCCTCAAACAGGTATCCTACCGATATCTGCCACCAGACAGACCTGCTCCGGAGGTTTAAACCCCAAACCTACCACTAGTACCCATCTGCAGGTTGGAGAAAGGAGCTCACACAAAAAAGCAAAGCTGAAGAACCCCAAACCCCGGCAAGTGGCGCCGCCGGGTCAGGTCATAGATCATTGCAAGTCTGGGGTGCTGCCTTGTTTGTTTGCGACAGTCCCGTGGCTCTGTAAGTGGATCTGGTTGGGTTTAGGGTTTAGGTACACCCCAGAGCCCTGAAGCCATGCCCAAAGCCCCAAATCCGACCCCAGGAGCTTTTTCGCACAATAAAAGCCCTGAAGCCCTAAACCCTAAAGCCTTAAACCCCTAAAAACTTAGAAACCCCTAAACCCTAAACCCTATAGATCCCTTTAAGGAACCCTACAGATCCCTTTAAGGATCCCTTTAAGGAACCCTTTTAAAGCCTAAAGCCTCATGTCCAGGAGTGGTCACAGGAGCCGGGCCACCCACACATCACCTACGAGTACCCAAACACGCGAGAGGCCGCTCTAGTGGTCTTTTTTGGGTCCCAAAAGGCCCTACTTGGAAGGGCAGGGTGTAGGGGCCTTATAATAATTACCAATACTATATTTTATTGGGGTTCCTTTTTATAATTGCAGTATAGTATGATGGGCCCCAAAACCCTAGGGGACTTAGTAAGTAGGTTATAAGTAGAGTTATAAGTAGCTTAAATAGAGTTACCCCAATTATAACCCTACTTATAACCTACTTACTAAGTCCCCTGCCATTCCAAGTAGGGCCTTTTAGGACCCAAAAAAGCACAGAGCAACTGATCGTTTGGGGGGCATTTTAAGGGTTCCCTTTAAAGGGATTCTCTAGGGTTCTATGATCGGGTTCCCTAACTAAGAGATAATAGTTTAGGGATCCAACAAGCACATAAGCATAAGCATTTTTACTGGGATATCCCTACCTTATTGGGCTTCCTTTTAAGGGGGTTGATACGGAATATCCCTATCCTAATTTTTGCTTATGTGCTTTTTGGGACCCTATTGACCCATTTAAACTTAGAGTTGCAAGGAGCACTGTGGAAGCAGCATGTAACTCCCAAACCAAGTCTGAACATGAAGGCATTAAGACCGAGGACTTCAGGGACTCACGACTTTTGTGGGAGTTTCGGGTTCAGGGTTTCCAGGGTTTGCAAGTTTTGATTTAGGCAGGTTCGCCACTGATGGCATAGAGTTTGCAAAGTTTTCGCATGTTAGCAGAGTCTTCATATTTACTGTGTACAGTGTGGGGCTGACCATTCTGACCTGGCGAGAGATATGCATAAGCAGCAGCCCTAAACCGTAAACCGGCGTGGGCATGTGTAGGGTTAAGGGTTTGCTCCAGGGCCAGCTCCTATGGGTCCATCCGTGAAAGGGGTGTTTGGTCTTGTCTTAAGGGCTCTAAAAGAGTATTGCAAGGGTAGCACAAGGGCTTAACGTTTAGTTTAGGCTACATGCACTTTACCGTTTCTTATTGCATTCGCCGTGATGGGGGTCCAATGGGTGCATGGACCCATAGGGAATGGCTAGGAGATAGTTTCCACCACTTGGGCAAGTCTAAAACCGTGAGAACGTCTATGAGTCCACTAAGTACACAAACGTTTGGTGTGCGCTAGTTGCTGGTCGTCAGCTGGTTCTCTCCAAGGCCAGCAAAGAATGCGACAAAACCGCCCAAACGTTGAATTGAAACCGGAACCCAACGAAAGCGCGGTAAAGCTTGACAGAAGTTTGCAGTTGGCTCAGTGTGAAAACCATCGTAGGCTTCGTAGCATATCCACAACCCTGGGACAAATCGATAGAAACCTACGAGCGCCCAGCAACCCCTCGCGGAAAACCCAGCTATGTAGACCGCTGTATAGCGTGGGGGTTAACTTTGGGATGTGGTGAATGTACGCAGGGATCTTGATGAGAATTTGCAAGTCTACAGTTTGGATTCCCCCTAAACCCCTATACCCTCAACAAGCCGCTAAACCCCTGTACCCTATATGCACTATCCCCAAATCCCCTAAACCATCCGAAACCGTGTCCCCTCATTAACAGAACCCCGCCCGAAACCCGACACACGAGGCGCAGAGTTGGGGCTGCGATGACTGGGGCTCCATCCAAGGCAGGGTTTAGGGTTTAGGGGTTTAGGGTTTAAGGGTTTAGGGTTTAAGGGTTTAGGGTTTAAGGGTTTAGGGTTTAGGGTTTAAGGGTTTAGGGTTTAGGGTTTAGGGTTTAGGGTTTAGGGTTTAGGGTTTAAGGGTTTAGGGTTTAGGGTTTAGGGTTTAGGGTTGTTTGTTTTTTCTCTCCGTGGTCCCCGATTCTAACCAGGAAGAAGGGTCGGTAAAGGACTTCAGTATTAAGGGGACACTGGGGAACGTACAGATGCTTGCCGGTTGTCAGTGTGGGTTCACCTGTACTTGTTTGAGGACATGTGTAAGGAAGTCATAGTACGAAGCTCTAAGAAGGTACTCGTAGGTTCTTTAGGGTTAAGCTGGAGTTCAGGTTCCGTGATGATGTTCATGAGGTTGCACACGATTTCTTCGGAATGAGTTTGTTTTGGGGAGCACCCCTTTCTGTTTATCTGTTGAGCAGAAATGTTTCGTGTTGTCTGGTGCTTTCAGTAGGATGGGGGGTAGTCAGTTGCACACGGCTTTTCTCACTGCGCTGACTATGTTAGGAATTGCAGGGCTTCATACCATGAACTGCAAACCCTCAAACCGATACTAAAGGTTGTATGGGGTTCACAAGAGCGACGAAGAGGGCTGAACGGGGCTGCAGATGGGTCTTTCAGGACTTTTTGGGAGTTCGCGCTAACTTCCAAAACCCTTCAGATCCTATAGCCCCTATATATAATTATGAACCCTATATCCCAAAATAACCTTAAAACCCTAATCAATATAATCCCAAACTCTAAACCCGAAGCTCGAAATCGGCACGAGGCAGCTGTCGGAGCAGCTCGACAAGTCGCGCCTCGTCGATGGAGCGGATCTTGGAGCGCCCTTCGACCCATCGAGGGTTGAAGCTCCGGGGCTTTTGCTTTTCGGTTAAAAGTAGCTGGGTAATAACCTTCAACCCTTCTAGGCTTTCTATAATCATACCATACTTGAGAAGGTGCCCCTTTTCGGGGGCTTGGCTATTCAGCCCCTAAGTTGCTAGAAATTGTAGAGAGTTGAGTAGAGCTTCCGGACGATGGGGGGTCTATAAGCGGGTTATATGGTTCTTGTCAGGGGTGAAGGTTTGGAGAAAACGAGATGGGATTTTGAATGAGGGCTTCCGCTAGAGGGCTTGAGCGGATATCTCTAGTGCCCTTCAGCTTTATTAACTGAGGTTTAGGTGCTAAACTTGTGACTATGTGGTATCTATGGGTTTTCTTTACTGACGCCATACTGTGCGATGGGTTTCATATGGGTTCTAGATTCTAGGGCTTGGATTTATTAGTTAGGGCCTCATGAGGGCATTTGGGTCCGCCTTTTGTTGCTACTTGGGGTTTGGGCATTTAACGTACAGGGTTTGTAAAGTTCAGGGGTTTGGGGTTCAAGTTTTGCAATCAGGGATGTGGGGTTTAGTTTAGGGTTAAGGGTTTAAACGGTGGGGTCCATAGCTCGGTTTTGAGGGATTCAAAGTTTGGAGTTTAAGGTGTTGGCTGGGGTTTGGGTTTACTTTACAGTCAACAGTTCGGGGTGCAGTGTTGAGGGTTTAGCGCCCCTAGGTTTCGGGATTTTTGTGATTTTGGGTTTAGGGTTCGGGCTTTTCTCAGAAGATGTCATTTCTTGGATCCCTGTTCAGCGTGCCTAGACAAGGCCTGGAGGAAGCACGTCTGCGCAAATACCGGAAGCTCTTCATGAAGGACGGCCATTCCCCAGCAACCCAGACCCCCGGGTGGATGAATGCCTGCTTGGAGGGTCGGGGCACTTAGTAACTGGTTATTTTAGGGACTTATAAGTACCATAACCCCAATTAAGGTTCATTTTAGGGTACTTATAAGTCTACGTA